GCAATGGGGCTGAGCAGTCGCGCAATGCATAAAAAGACTTTTCAGCGGCATCTGAAAAATAAGCTGGAGCCCGCTGCTACGCGAGCAGCTGAAGATTCTATGCAGCAGTGCGCGCGTGAAGTGTCGTCGCTCTACGAGGACTTGTGCTTTGGTCACCGTGGTAATATTGCAGTGTGTTTTGATGGGAGCTGGATGACCCGGGGTCACTCTTCGCACATTGGCGTCGGAGCAGTTATTGAACTCTTCACTGGTTATGTTCTCGATTACGTCGTACTTTCAAATTTTTGTTTGGGCTGTGATGTGGGACTGAAACCCGGTAGCGAGGGTTATGAGCAATGGAAAGATGCTCATCGCTGCCAGAAGAACACCAGTTGTAAATCTGGGCAAATGGAAGTAGAAGAAGGCCTCATTCTTTTTGAAAGGTCCCTTGAGCGGCGCAATCTCCGCTATACGACAGTCTTGTGTGGCGGCGATAGCAGAACGTACAATGCTATAAGGGATGCCAAAGTTTATGGTTTTATTGACGTAGAGAAAGAAGACTGCACAAATCATGTGCAAAAGCGAATGGGGACGGCTCTGAGGAACTTAGTTCAAAAGCAGAAAACCGAAGGCCGCAGTCTGGGAGGAAAGGGGCGACTCACTGCCGACCTCATCACCAGACTGAGCACCTACTATGGTCGTGCGCTCAAGTCACATCAAGGGGATGTGGATGAAATGCAGCGAGCTGTGATGGCCACGTACCATCACATCACATCCAGTGACGAAAGCTCGAATCACAGTTTGTGCCCCACAGGCGAGCAGTCTTGGTGCCGGCACAATGCCGCAAAGGCAAAAGGTATGCACGAGCCAAAACACAAGTACAACTTGCCCAAAGAAGTTGCAGAGGCATTATTGCCTGTTTACGAACGTCTGTCTGACAGGAGTCTGCTGCAAAGATGTCTAAGAGGGAAAACTCAAAACTCGAATGAAAGCTTGCATTCAGTTATTTGGAGTCTGATCTCCAAAGAGCAGCACTCTTCCCTTTTTGCTGTGCAAGCAGCAGTTGCTGAAGCTGTGTTGCGTTTCAATGCAGGAAACAAACACTCTGCAGCATCAATTCTGCAAGAACTTGGAATGAATGCAACCAACACTGGCAAGATGCGAACAGCAGAGAAAGACAAACGTCGGAGTGCCATGTCCACGAAGAGGCATGCAGCATCAGAAGGACTGAAAAAAAAATGTCGCAAAAAAGCATAAAGACTCCATGCATCCTGATTATGCACCTGGGTCATTTTGAATGACTTCAGTGACATTTACACTATTTTTCTGCTAATAAACAACTTTTAAAACGTTTTTCCTCGTTTTCTCAAAATGGCTATTTTGGTGGTTTTGCTATTTAGGAGAAGCGATATTTCAGCTTCTGGTCATGATATTACTCTAATTCTTGTGTTGACAGCTTGGTAAACTAATGTAGATTGAAATAAGACTGAATTGAATATTGTAAGTAATAGACATAATTTTAAAAATCACATTTAACGATTTCATGTCAAGCTGGGATTTCACTTCCAAAAATTTGACATGCCATAACTTTTGTTCAAATGGGCTTAGAATATTCATGTTTGTTTTATTGCATACAGCCATCATTCTAGATTATAGTGGTATGTTGATTTGTTTTGTAACTATCACAGTAAAAAAAACAGACTTCCTCCTTCCAAGGAACCTGAAAAATGTGATGTCTCGAAAACTATATAATGCACCAAAAAAAGAATTGCATATTTGAAATCTGCATATCAATATACATAAGGTGCATAAGTTTCATAAAAATCGGCTTGAAATTAAGCAACATTTATCTCCGAAGCAGGGTCTCCCCTTAAGGTGCACAGAGTCTTCAGAATACCTTAAAAGTTACCTGACAATTTTTTATGCACAGCTGACTCTAGACAAACATTCGGGCTTTTGTACATGAAGTTTTGTTTTTAAACAAAAATAGGCTGTAAGCACAGAGCGCATACAAGGAGCTTGCGCAAGGGTGCGTTTTCGCTCACTGAGTACTTTTGGAGAAACTGATCTTGAGCCACAAAAATGCTGCTTAAAAAAGCACGAATGTGGAAAACATGCATGAAGAGACAACCTTCGCAAATTGCAAAAGAAAGTGATTTTTTTTTAAAATTTTGCCCTACCCAGTGCTTTCAAACGCAACCTGAAGAGACCAGCAAATTGTATTCTTAACAGCATCACCGTTTACTGAGATAATAAGGGTGTAGAAGCTAAGCGTCAAATCAATTTAGCAGGAGGCCGCTGTTCCAATTGAGTGGCAGTGGCAATTACAGAGTCCACAGTCTATTTCAGTTTCTATAGTCTACTGTATATAACAAAATATTGCCGCCATTCGTCCATTTCAATGCACACATGTTGAACTGTACATAATAAACGAGAGGTAACTAAACTACCCTCAGTAGCTAAATAGCAATGCCACAAAAACAATCGTGATGAACCCAACGCCGCCATGTTGTCTAGTGGTTACGGCGCTCCACTATTAAGCCCAAGGTCGCGGGATCAAATCCCAGCTGCGACGGCTACATTTTCGATGGAGGCGAAAATTCTGTAGGCTTGTCTGCTCAGATTTAGGCTGGCATTAAAGAAACCCATTGATTGAAATTTATAGAGCCCTCCATTACAGCAATCTCAATTATATGGTGGATTTGGGCGTTAAACCTCACTCATTATTATTACAATGAAACTTCGATTAAACAATTCCCGGTTTCACGATGACCCGCATTTTACGATGAATCGGTTTGGTTCCAGCAAAACCACCAGAGAAGTAATGTATTAAAAACCTTTGTTATACGACACAGTTTTACGCCAACCCCACATCTTACGAAGACTTTCAGATTCCGCCCGAAAGAGACCAAAAACCACCTTCGCTCGAATCAAACATTGACCAAATATTCACCCATGAAAAATATGAACTTCCGTTCCCCTAGGTTGACAATTACAAAAGTAGAGTGAGGCAGGATGTCTTCCTAGAGTGGAAAATTTATTTTCCTGGAAGTTCATGCACTTATACATACGGCTTACGTATCCAGCGTCGTTACCTAGTCAAGGTCTATCCACACAGAGTAGCTTCAGCCGGCAAGCGGCCCGTGGAAACTTTTCCAGGTCAACAAGCATACAGCTGATCTCCTGCCTTTGTGACACTCGCAGCCACTGGCTTGCGCACACAAAAGGGTGTAATGCAGCTGTTTTCACCGTGCAAAATTACTTTTACTTGACATCAACGTTTATAGTAACAGTGGGACAGTTGCACTTCACAACGTAAGAAATTACAACGTTAAGCTTGTGCAAATAGTTAATTTTAGGTTTGAAGCGAATAATAATTTTGGTCGAATAATTAGACATAAAAAAAGGAATATTTATCATGACCTAACTAACAAGCACAATATTTTCTTTATTTCAATAGTGCCTCTATGCAAATGTCATTTTTTTTTTCATTGAAAGGAAGTGGAAACTACCTTGAGTAGTAGCGGGATATGAGTTTCGGTAGGGCGTGAATGATAAATTGTAAAGTACATAACATTCTAAAACTTATTATACTTAGAGCATACAAGCCATCATAACAAGCTTTTAAACCTAATAAAATGATGAATTCTTTTGAGGGTAATATGTTCATTTAAAGGGTCCCTGCAATACTTTTTCAAGTAGCCACTAAAGAAGCTTATTGCTTCAGAAATTTACCGCCGCAAAGCTTTAGAATCAGTCCAGTACGATCAGAGTTCCAAGATTTGCAGCATGCTGCAATTGCATTCTCTCCTCTCGTCCTGACCAAAGAGCTGAAAGCTAGGCAGGAAGGGATGGCACGGAAAAAAAAAAAAAAAAAAACAAACACGCACGCCTTATGACTTCGAGCACTTTTTCTCACTCTTTTATTCTTTTTTTTTTCCCCCTTTGGATATGCATCCTTTCAGAGAAATCGCGCACACACTTGTGGACAAGTGGCAGCCTCCTGCAGCGGCCCAAGTAATGACGGAGTGCGCCATGCTTAAATCAGCCAATGACTGTGACGAGTATTTTTTGAGATTTTAGTGTCATTTGCTACAGGAAGAAAGCAACTTTTAGCTTTGAAAATTTATTGTATATCACAGGCGGCATGCTGCGCTATAACATTCGCCTTGTGTGCTCTTGGTAGCCTCGACTACTGATCAGCAGCATTTTCTGATCATGCTCAGTAAGTATTGCAGGGCCCCTTTAAATTTGAAGGGGTATCGCGGCACAGCCAATTACCTTTGAATATATGCTTTCATGGCTTAGCACCACTACACTGCGGTGAAACCACCTTTACAGGCAGTTACATGCGGCACACTTATTCGTTTATCGCAAATACTACGAAAGTTTCGATAATTTAACTGCAAACCGAAGCAAATTTGAATACTCAACTATTCGTTTGAATATTCGCATAAGCCTACACAATGTGCAAAGTTTTGTAGCACACGAAAGAATTCTACGTGTTCGACGCAAATTCGTGGTCCGTCGCCATTATGTGATAGCGATGGCACTGTGTCCCACTATTCTGATGGGAGGCTGTTGGCAACATACTTTCAGTCTCGTTCTCATGTACAGCCATATTCCAATTTTATCAGTAGAAGAATGTGCATTGGATTAGATTTTTTGAAGCTGAAAATAAAGATTTGCTCACACCTCCTTCAATAAACTAATGCTGCCTTTAGCTGCCACTAGCAAGTATAATCTAATCTACCTTTTATGCAGAGGCACAAGGTCATGCTGTGGGCTATTCAGACAATCTGAACCAGTTTTTTTGGGCAAGGCCGAGTGTCAATGCCTACTATCTTAGTTTTCCATTAAACGACACCCGGGTTACATGACGGTTTTGCATGGTTCCCTAAAAGTCGTATAATCGGGGTTCCACTGTTTTAACCTTGATGGACCCCACCGTGCTTGTACTGAAGAGATTCCGGATTATGGTTTCATTTAAAAGCATTTGCACATAGTAAACATCGGCTTACCTTCTGTCCAAGCAGACCTAGAGAGACCATCTTCGCATTGTACACGTTCTCAAGCTCGCGCAAGGTCTCCTGCCGTCGCTCCTCGAGCATGGAGCGGTAGAAGTGGAAAGTGTCGCCGACCTCCCCTTGAGCCCGTTGGTACTGAGACTGGAGACGGCTTGACACCTGGTCAAGTGTCTTGAGTGCGGCCCTAAGGTCGTGCGACTTGACCCGCCCATCCTCCACCATGTGTGATAGGCCCTCTACGTGACGAGGTGCTGCTTCGCTCAATGGCTCCAGGTCGTGCATCGCCTGCGTATATATCAGAAACGTAATGTACAAACAAACTGCATATACATTAAGTATGAATGGACCTTCCAAACTTTATGGAGGCTCGCATACTGCTAAAAAAGGTTAAAGAAGGAACCCACCACTGCATCGTTCAACTCTCCAAACAGACAACATATTGCATGCATCTCTTCGAGACTGGCATCAGATTTTGTTTGGTTGGTGCCATGCAGCCACAAACTGTGCCTCTTGCAGCAATTGCCACTGAACTGATTACATTACTGCACCCCAAATGCAAGCAAATCTGCTCATCCAAAGAGTAGCATGAAGCAGGGCATTATTAGGGGCTTTTTTTGAGGCTGCTCAAACGCAAATAAACTTAATTTTCTCATTTTACCACTTTCAGACTGTTCTATTTGTGAGACTATTTTCCGGTGCCCGCCAATCCGGAATAAACAGTGGGCAAGCCTATCTTTTGCACTTTTGCTTGAAGAAGTCCGTAGGCCAAGGATTACTACCGTACTTATTCGAATATAGCTCGACCTTTTTTTCCCGAAGATGTTGTTCACAACCAGCTATCCCCCTATATTCGTGACCAAAGAATCTTGACCTTATTCGTGATCAAAACGACCAAAAGCAGCGAGCTAGTAATAGCATTCAACTGCAGCGCCCGCTGTTCTTAAGGGGGGATGCAGGTCTTAGAATGCTGAAAAAGGGCCAGAAAGTCGATTTTGAGAAAATGCGATATTTGAAATTTTTAGACCTATAAGCACGTGCCCTCAAATTGTGAACGCTGAATTCGATTAGTAAATGAATTAAAATTGATTATAAAGCCGCCACGGGAGCCGCAAAACAACCCACGGCAGGTCAATTCAAACTTCCCGCACGCGCCGCTGGCTAGGCAGTTGGCCGATCGCCACCATCTTGGGCTTGTTTTGAAGCCGATTCCTTTGTGCTCATTTTGCCACCCTTCAAAATGGCGTCGCTTAAACAGAACAGCTGCCCTCGCCCCTTTTCCAGAGCCCCCTTCCGAGCCGCTGATTGGCCGGAGCGCGCACGCACCAGGCGAGCCCCCTGTTCCTTGCTTCCCATTGGCTGATGCGGCCAAAGTTGCCCGCGCTTTTTTTTTGTATACTGTTCGTCGGCCGCCGGTTCCCGTTCGCGCACGTTGTTCGTTTGCTTCCCGCACGTGCCTGCTTGTGCTACCCGACCGACGCACCGACTTTCCGTCTTTTGCAGGCATGATTGGAGACGCTCGATGCGCCAAGCGTACGGCAAGAAACGGAGGCGCCCGTGGAACGCCTGCCAGAAGAAAGCAGCCAACAACGTGCAGCCGATTTCGCCCGATGCCGCCGAAGCGGCGCATTCCAACGACGGCGCGCAGCCGCAGCCGCTTGTGTCTGCAGCGGTGCACTCTCCTGTGCTTTGCAGGGGCGCCTCATCGAATTGTGTCGTCGTCGGATTGTCATCTTGCACTTCCAGCAGCATCCTAGACCACATTGACACGGCGTTTTATTCGGCGGAAGAGTTTGCTGAGTGCGCGAGAAATAGAGCGGGCTTGAAGGCATCACTCGCATCGCAGTGCGCGACGGAACGTAAGTTCGAGTTGCTAGATATTGATCTGGAGGATGGTGGCAAAGAAAACGGGACAGAATTTGTTATTGTTGATCTGGCGGCGATACGCTCGTTGTTTGGACTTGTCGCGTGCCAAGAATGCGGTGAAAGAAGCGTCACTATTTCAAAGGCCAAGAAAGAGTACGGGCTGTGTTCGAAGCTCATAGTCACGTGCAGCAGTTGTGACTTTCACGAAGAGCGTTTTTCGTCCCCACGTATAGCCGACGAGACCGACGCCAAAATAAGGTCGTTTGAAGCCAATATGCGTGCCATGAAGGCCATCAACAGTATGAGCAAGAGGGCAACGGCTCTGTCAGACGTCTTCGCCGGGATGAATATTTCGCATCGAGGGCTTCACCACAAGAGTTACCAAAGCCACATGAATATAATGAAAAAGCCTACTGTGGGACTGCTGCCGAATGCGAAGCGGCAAGTGTTGCTCGCGTCAAGGAGCTCTATGCTGAGTTCGGCGACGCGCCCGGAAATGTTGACGTCATTTATGACAGCACCTGGCTTACGCGTGGACATCATCATCATCATCATCAGCCTGACTACGTCCATTGCAGGACAAAGGCCTCTCCCACGTTCCGCCAGTTAATCCGGTCCTGTGCTTGCTGCTGCCAATTTATACCCGCAAACTTCTTAATCTCATCTGCCCACCTAACCTTCTGTCTCCCCCTAACCCGCTTCCCTTCTCTGGGAATCCAGTCAGTTACCCTTAATGACCAGCGGTTATCCTGTCTACGCGCTACATGCCCTGCCCATGTCCATTTCTTCTTGATTTCAGCTATGATATCCTTAACCCCCGTTTGTTCCCTAATCCACTCTGCTCTCTTCTTGTCTCTTAAGGTTACACCTACCATTTTTCTTTCCATTGCTCGCTGCGTCGTCCTCAATTTAAGCTGAACCCTTTTTGTAAGTCTCCAGGTTTCTGCTGCGTAGCTAAGTACCGGCAAGATACAGCTGTTATATGCCTTCCTCTTGAGGGATAGTGGCAATCTACCTGTCATAATTTGAGAGTGCTTGCCGAATGTGCTCCACCCCATTCTTATTCTTCTAGTTACTTCAATCTCGTGGTTCGGCTCTGCGGTTATTACCTGCCTTAAGTAGACATAGTCTTTTACAACTTCAAGTGCACTATTACCTATCTCGAAGCGCTGCTTCTTGCCGCGTGGACATAGCTCGCATATATGTGTTGGCTGCATTGTTGAGATGTATAGTGGCCTCATGATAGACCATATCGTGCTATCGAACTTTTGCCTGGCTTGCACCACAGGACCCAAGGAAGGAGAAGCAGGACATTCTGCCTGGCTCATTCAGCATGCCCCTCTGTGTCAGAAGAAAGTTGATTGTAATGCTGGCCAGATGGAAGTGGAGGCAGCACTACGCTTGTTTGAGCGGTCACTTGAAAAGCACAAGCTTCGTTATACGACAATGCTGTCGGACGGCGACAGCAGGACATTCCATGCACTCACAGAAAAAGAGGTGTACGGCTTCATAAAGGTGGCCAAAAAGGACTGCATAGATCATGTACACAAGCGTATGGGAGCTGCCTTACGTACCCTTGTAGAGAAAAAAAAAAAAAGCTCAAGGTGGCTCACTTGGTGGAAAGGGCAGACTTACGCAACAAAAGATAAAGAAGATCACCTCATACTATGGCTACGCATTGAGAAGCCACAGGAACGATGTTCCAGGTATGCAGAAGGCTGTTCTAGCAACTTTGAACCACATGTCTTCAACTGATGAGGCACCAAAGCATGACCTTTACCCTGAAGGCCCTGAATCCTGGTGCAAATTTCAGAGAGCTCTTGCGAAAACAGAGAAGCCGCCACCACACAAGGACAGCCTGCCTGATTTCGTAACTGAGGCATTGGAGCCTGTGTTTAGGCGGCTGAGCGACAATGCCCTCTTGGAAAGGTGCAGCGATGGGATCACCCAAAACCAACCAAGAGCAACGTGGAAATTGCCAAGAAGCTGGGCTACAGCGCTGGCAATAACTTGGTGCGTCGCAGCCTTGAGAAGGACAAGGGCAGGCTGCAAAAATCGAGAAGAGAGCATCTCGACAGCAGTTCAATAAAGGAAAGACTCAAAGCGTCACATGCCAGCAGGGGACTCTGCTTACAGCCCTGGTCTGCTGTAAACAGTCATGATGGCAAATAGTGAGAATTTTTCCAAGAATAAATATTCTTGGTTTTAGGCCTAAACATTGTGTAAATCTATTGTCTATCCAAGGACAACATTAATACATGATTTTTTTGTGTTCCTTTCACTTGCAAGGCACTGGAAGGACCACAAAATAAAAAAATAATAATTCTCATGCTGAGTCAATGACTATTTTATAGTTCTAGAACAAGCTGTGAGCAGTGTTCTGGGTGGGTACAGTGAAATTTAGCATGGCCATTTATCCTATAATATAGAGCTACAAAATGATGTCATTAATATCGCTGTAGCTTCACTTTAGCAAAAGTTAAAGTTGCTAGAAACTTCAAACGCGTTTTTCTCAGTTCGATGTTTTTACACATTGCACTCGGCCTTACGGGGGTTTTTCCTATGTTAAACTTGAGTGAATGCGACAAAGTTGGTATCATGTTATTCGCCTTGACATGATCTATGGGGTGATTCTATTTCTATTTCTCTAGCATCACTTCAAAAATTACCATTGAAGATTTTAGTGAGAGAAATTTATTGTAATATAGTGACCATATGTGTTCGTCTGTTTTCTAGCTTATAAAATGCCTTCAAATGGATAAAAAGAGCATCACCCCCTACAGCAAGTCTCCAGCATTGGGATTATGCATTCACTTTTTGAATTTAGCAAGAATAAATTGCCAAGAAGTCCCGTAAGAAGTACGCAAATAATTAAGATTCAGATCTTCATATTTTCTAAACCACTTGAAATATTAAGAAACAAATTAGAGATTTGAAATCAGCATGAAAAACTAGCTTAAGTAGTAAAGTTTGGTTAAGATTGAGCAAAGAATTAAAAAAAAATTTCAGAACCAACGTCCCCCTTAAGGGGGAGGTGGCGGCATTGAAAAAAAAACTCATTTGTTGACCTACAGCGATGAAATTTGGCATGCATACTCATAAGTGTCTCAAAAAGGGAAATATGCAGTTTTATCATAATAGCTTCAGTAGTTCTCAAGTTACATAATGCTACACGATCCAATTACATGGTCTGCTCGTGGAAAGCCTAGCGCTGCAACAAAACATGCCAGGAAGCTACGAATGGAGTTGATGTTGATCTTTACTCAAAAGAAAGCTGCAGGGTATGGCACTCTCAGAATTTTTTAATAGGTTCTCTTTTTTTTTTAGAGATCACCATGGCTGCCGACACACAATGTCAGAAACAGCGGCACGGACAAATCATCGTCTAGAAAAATAACAGGGCCATAAAACAGAAATTGAAG